CCCAGTACCAAGCAGAGACCTATGCCCCAGTATAAGACTAGTGCTTCATTATGTAACACTGCCAGCTGCAGCATGGACCTCAGTGCATCCAAGACTGGGCAGGTCCTCATGACTGTGAAACTTAGGTGCACCCTGCCTTCATCAGTCTCATGGCCACAAATTGCCTTCACCAACACTATCTCAACCTCAGGCAGCAAAGTTACAACACCCCATTCAATAGGGGTAGGACATAGTAGTAAGCACAAGACTTTGCCCTGGAAATTAGTGCGGGCATACAAAACCTAAAAGTGGTCAAATCCTAACAGCTCCCATTCCAGCCTTGTGAACAGAAGCTCTGGAACAGCTTCAGATCCAGATGAAGACATATGGCCCCAGTCTATCAGACTTCTATTTCAGCTAGCATTCCCTGTGGCTAGCTGCAGCAGTCTTGGGCCATGAGTTGAGCTCAGCAATAAGCAGCTCATAGCAGTGTGTCCCTTGGTCCAGTCCCAGTGTTGTGCTGGTCTTGGTATACTGTGGTCTCAGGGTGTGCCACAGCTTTACAGCATTAATGGCAAAGAGTGGTACAAGACTCCATTCACTGGAGGTAGGACCTGGTAGTAAGCATGAGATTTTGCCCTGGAAATTAGTACTGGGCTTGACATAGAAGCCTAGGGCTGGTTCATTTACAGTGACTCTGCCTTGAGCAAGGCAGAACACTGCAGTGCCTTAACTAGGCTGGTAACTGTGGATGAGGCATCTGGGCCTACTTTGGGCCCAGGAAGAAGCCTGTGGGACAGATTAATTTCTCTAGGTAGTTTCCTGGTTTATTCTGAACAACATATCAACAGTGTATTTGGGGCAAACCTGACCTTGGATTGCCCTCCAGTACTGAAGTAATGACAATACACTAACAGCAGATTCCTAAGTGTTACCTAGTGCTGAAATAGTGAATGCAACTACAAGCTCAGAGAAAATAAGGAGCCTACTTGGAATTTCTGAAACTACAAAACCAAATTAGGAAGGCTAGAATAAAAATACATAGTTTCTTAATACCCAGATGATGTCACCTACCAACAAGCATCAAGAGCTTTCAGGAAACTATGACCTCACCTAATATGCAGAATAAGGTGGCCAGAAACTCAACATATAGCAATTAGTATGGGAAAACTCAGCTATTTTGGACATACAGCAGTGAATATGGGAGAACTCAGCTGTTTGGGGCTAGGAACCTAATTCAGTGGTGGAACACTTGCCTAGCATGTATGAGGCCCTGAGTTTGATCTCCAGCACAGCAAAAGATAAAAAGAAAACAAATACATATATAAACAAAACAGTTATTTTAAGGAAACACAATGAACCTGTAAAAAACAGAAAAATGTTCAATACTTTAACAGAGAAACTAAACAGAGATGGAAGCAATTTTAAAAATCAAACAAATTCTTAAGCTAAAAAATATGAAAAATTAAAAACACAGTAAGGCATCAATAACATGATAGTTTAAACAGAAGAAAGGTGGTGAGCTCAGAGACTGCCTATTTGAAAATACACAGTTGGAAGAGAAAAAATAATAATAATGAAGAGAAGTATAGGAGAGTATTAAAGATCAAATATTTGGGTTACTGGGGCACAAGAAGGATTTGAGAATACCAAATGAGGTAGACAGCTTATTCAAAGTAAGAACAGCAAACTTCCTAAACCTGAAAAATGATACAAATATCCAGGCAGGAAGGTCAAAGGTCACCAGTAAACTTTAACTTGACCAAGTCTATTCCAAGACATCTTACAATCAAGTTCTCAAAAGTGAAAGATGAAACAAAAGAATCTCAAGACTGCAAGAGAAAGGAAACAAATAACACTAGGGGTGTCTCAATTTGCCTGACAGCAGACTTCTCAGAAGAAATTTTACAGGCCAATAGAGTGGCACAAGGTTTTCACAGCATTGAAAGTTTAAAAAAAAAAAAAAAAACACACTGCCAACTGAGAATACTGTACTGTAAAAACCTATCATTTAGAAATGAAACAGAGATGAAGACGTGCCCAAACAAAAGCTGAACAGTTTATCTCCAATAGGCATGTTCTTTGCAAAATAATAAAGGACATTCTTCATACTGAAAGAGACATTAATGAGTAAGAAGAAAACATCAGGAGGTTTAAAAGTCACTGGTAAGGGTAATTGGGTAAATTCAGAAAAATTTTTAATATTGTAAGCATAAACCCATTCATATCTTTGGGAGGAAAACTAAAAGCCAAAACAAAATGTAGGTTCTGTACCTACATTAATATGATAAATCAGTCTATCATAGACAACACAGAAAGCTGTAAAATGAATTATCAAAAACTCAAAATGCATGCAGCATTGGTGGTATAATAGTGGACATGGCTGCCTTCCAAAAATTCAAAATGCAAGGAGGCATGAAAGTATAGAATTTTCTTATTAGTATATTAACTCTTACTCTTTTGTTTCTGTTCTTATTTTTATATTCATGTAAGAAGTTGCTATCATTTCAAAATAGCTGGTAATTATCAAAAATAGTAGACAAGGAATCAAAACATACTGCAGTAAATCACTTAAACACGGACTGTAAGAGGGGGAGAACATAGAAGAGAACTACAACAAAATGAGAAAATAAGTTCATAATGGCTGAACAAAGACCATACCTATCAATAGTCATCTTGAAAGCAAATGAATTAAATTCTCTAATTAAAAGATGGAGCAAATGGATTAAGACAAATGAGACCCAACTTTATGCTGCTTACAAGAAACTCACTTCAACTCTAAGAATACACATAGACTGAAAGTGAAAAGATGGAATAAGATATTACATGCAAATGGAACAAAAAGAAAGTAGGAATAGCCATACTTACATCAGATAAAATACTCTAAATCAGAATTAGTCAAAAGGCTGGGTACTGGTGGCTCATGCCTATAATCCTAGCTACTCCACAGGCAGAGACCAGGAGGATTGTGGTTCAAAGCCAGACCAGACAAACAGTTCCGCAAGACCCTATCTTGAAAAACCCTTCACAAAAATAGGGCTGGTGGGGTGGCTCAAAGTAAAGGCCTGAGTTCAAGCCCCAGCACCACAAAAAAAAAGAATTAGTCAAAAGGGACAAGGTTATTATATAATGATAAGGGGGTCAACTGAGCAAGAGGAAACAACCCTAAACATGTATGTGCACAATACTGGAGCACCCAAATATGTAAAGTGAATGTTAACACACCTAAAAGGAGGGAATGACACCAACAAAATAACAGTTGAAGACTTCAGTACCCTACATTCAACAATGAACACAACAACCAGACAGAAACTCAAAAAAAAACAGCAGAGTTAAGTTGCACTGTAGTCCATATGGACCTAACAGACATCTACAGAACTGCCATCCAACAGCTACTGAATACACATTTTTCTCATCAGGATATGGAGCATTCTCCAGGACAAAATATATGATAGAAGAAAAAACAGGTCTCAATTTTTTAAATGAATATCATATCAAGTATCTTATCTGGCCAAAGTGCAATAAAATAGCCTGACTTTTTTAAAAATGAGCAACAGATTGAAATAGAAATTTCTCATAAAAAGTATATATGGCCAACAGATACATGAAAAAAACACTTAGCACCACTAATCACCAGGGAAATAGAAATCAAAACCACAATGAGATATCACTTCACCCCAGTAAGAACAGCTATTATTTTTTTAAAAGATAACAGAGGCTGGCAAAGATATAGAGAAAAGGGAATCCTTGAACACTGTTGGTGGCAATGTAAATTAGCACAGCAATAATTAAAAATGGTATAAAAGTTCCTCAAAAGTAAAAAACAGAAATAACATATGATCCAGCAGATCCCCTCCTGAGTATATATATCCAAAGGAAATGAAATCATTATGTCAAAGAGACTGCACTCCCATGTTCAATGTAGCACTACTCGCAGTCATGACATTGAAATGACCTAAGTTGTCCACCAACTGATAAATGGATAAAGAAAAAGTGATCATATACACAGTGGAATACTATTCAGCCATAAAATAGAACAAAATTCTGTTGTTTATGATAACATAAATGGAACTAGATAAAGGTCATTATGTGAAGTGAAATAAAGCACAGAAAGACAAATACTGAATGATCTCACTCTCATGTGGAATCTAAAACAGTTGATCTCACAGAAGTTGAGAGTAGAATGGTAGTTAACAGAGGCCAGGGAGCATAGAAGAGGGGAGGAATGGAAAAGATTTCATTGGTGCAAACTAAGTTACGTTAAACAGAAGTTCTGAGGTGCTATTGCACAGTAGGGTGACTATAGGTACTGTACATTTCAGAAAACTAGAAGAAAGGATTTTAAAGGTTATACAATTTTTTGAGGAGATAAATGTTTAACCTGACTTAAACATTACATAATACATACGTGTATTAAAGTATGACATGGACTCCATTAATATATGATTTTTACAGGTTTTTTGCAGTGCTAGGGATCAAACCCAAAGTCATGGATGCTAGCAAGTGCTACACCAGTGATCTACACTTCCAGCCCAGTTTTTATGTTTTTAAAAAATGTTTTAATTTTTTAATAATAAGATTTAATTAAGCTAGCCCTTTCTCCAGAAAGCTTTCCTTGACACCACTCCTCTAAAGGGTAAGTACCATCTTATGTAATGCCATAAAACCCAGAGCTATCACTAGATAACTCCCTATAGCATTATAAAGATCAGTTTATATATCAGAGTTTCTCAATAAACTGTGGGCTTTATAAGTGCAAATACCATGTTTTAATTCATCTTTATATTTTTAGAACTGGGTATAAAGTAGATGCCAACTATCATTTGTTGAATAAAAGTATCAGCCTTCATCACCAGTCAGCCAACATACTGAAAATCTGTACAGTACTTATGACCAGCAAGCTAATAAACTTTCCTTTAAGTACCACTGTCTAAATACTCAATTCCAGTAAGTATGAATATAAAATCCTTCCATAACTCCAAGGTCAGAAAATTTCACAACATATGAACAATTTTCAGGCAATAACCAAACGTTTTTATTTTTTCACAACCTGAATATGAGATACAATTCCAATGAGTTTCAAAACATTTACAGATCTTTTGTCTATCAACCAAACTAAAGAAAGTTCTCTAAAGGAACATCTGCAACAACAGAAAACTTAGCAATCAATGTTGGCTTCACCATTTCTTCTCTTTTCTTTATAGTTATCCATGTTGTCCATCTTTAATTCGTCTTCCTTTTTATATTGAGTATAGTCAATCTCTTTTTCTGAGTTTGGAATTGATTTCCCCTTTGGTAGCAAGAAACATTCAGCATTCAAAACTTGCTCAGCAGTCATTGAACTTCTAAAATATATCAAACTACAGAGGAGGGATTTGACATTATCATCCTGTAAGGAAAAACAAATGTTTAAAGAAATGAAAATCAAACAAATGAACAAAATGACAAACCTGTAGTGAAGATGGAGGGTCCAATTCAAAATTCTCTTAGTCACTGATAGAAGCTAAAGTCAATTTTTTCCATTTATATTTTTAAAGATTCCTACCAATTTCACCTACTTGTCATTGGAAAAGGATATCTCCAGTAATAAGACAGCAGAACTGAAATCCAGGGGAAATCATAAAAGAAAAAATCACAACTGAAATTTATCAAAAACAAGTGAAATGTAAAATTCCAATAAAAAGATATTTTTATGACTCCTCTTTTTCCCTCTTTTATAGAGCACTGGTCAGAGTTTCACACTGTGAAAATTTCACATCAAAACTCCTCTGCCAAGAAAGGTAACCTCCTTTACCTAGTCAACTGTTTTTGGTCTCAGTTTTGAAGTGATCTTTTCTGGAAACCCTTCTACCAGACTACTATTATCATAATTATTATGGTAGTCAGTCTTTATTGTGTGTCACATATTATGTTATTTCAAATAACAGTCTCTGAATTATCACATTTAAATAGCCCTAGGATGTTGATGTTCCATTTTCTCCACTTTCCAATATACCTTAGTATGTCTTGTATTGTAATCTCCAATGATTACTCCAATCAGAGCACATACCAGTGAATAAAAATCACCTGTTTATTTCTAATGTCCTTATTAAGACTCTAAGATCCTTAAAGTCATAAATTTTAGTTTATCAATTCATCCCCCAGAAACTAGCACAGTGCTTAGAATATAGTAGACATTGAGTCAATGTTCAAACAATGAATCAAAGGATGTCAATGTCTATACTGAACTCTACAAAATATGTTTTTAAGCATATTTAAAGAAAGTAATTGTCTTCCTAGGTATAAACTTAACTGAAAATTTATCTAAATGAGGAAAAATCGTGTTCTTTTTTTAAAAACCACAAAGTAGATCTGAAGCAAAAATCTTATCATGTTCTTGGACAAAAAAAACTAATCACTAATGTGTCAATTTTCACTAAGTTAATTTACAAAGTTTATGTGACTCAAAAAAATGAGGTTTTTTTTCCCTTGAAGCTAGACCAATTAATTGTAAAGATCTTTTAAAACAAGCAAAAATAGTCACAAAAGTTCCAAACATAAAAGCAACAGAAAGGAACTATTCCTCCCTAACTATTTTGTAATGTTACTGTGAATAGAACTGTTTTCCTAATTGTGTTTTATATGTTGCAAGTATATAAAAATACAACAGATTTTGTACATTAATCTTATATTCTACAGCTGTGTTATCTGTGTTAATTAGTTCTAATAGCTCAGGATAAGGCAAGGATATCTGCTCTCCCTACTGAATAAAAGGTTCTAGTCACTTGAGCAGGAAAAAATAGAGGACATACAGACTGAAAAGGGAAAAGTTAAACTATCTCTATTTGCAGATGTCAGTCATGTAGATATACAAAACACAAAGAAATCCACTAAAAAATATTACAACTAATACTTAGGAATAAATTTAACAGAAGAAGTTATAAACCATATTTGTGGAAAACTACAGATTATTATTGAAGGAAATTAAATAGTTAAATGAATGGAAAAAATCCCATGTTCATGTATCAGAAGGTTTAACATTGATAAGATGGCCATTCTTCACAAATGGATCTACAGATTGAACATACTCCCTATCAGAATCTTAATTAGCTTCTCTGTAGAAAAATGACAAACTAATTTCTAAACATCATATGGAATTTTAAGGGACCTAGAACAGACCCACAATCCTGGTAACTCTGAAAAAAGAGCAATGTAGAAGGACTCACATTTTCCAATTTCAAAACTTAACTACTCAACAACAATAGTTAAGATGATATGGCACAGGAGCAGACATTGACTTATGATGGTTTGACTTAAAATGTTTTTTTTTATTTTACAATAGTCCCAAAACAATACAAATGCACTTGAAGCCATATTTCAATCTTTTTTATTTTCACATTTCCCAGGCTAGCAATACATAGTACAATACTATCTGATGATGCTGGGCAGCTGCATGAGCCATATTCCCAGTCAGTCATGTGATCACAAGGGTGACATAGCAATGCCCTACAGTGTACTGTGTTACTAACCTAAGATACTCTGTAAGTAATAAGATACATTTTCAACTTGCAATATTTTCAGCTCATGATACCTCAACATAAGCTGAGGAGCATCCATGGATCAATGGAATAGAATTGAGAATCTAGAAATAAATCCATATATCTATGTTCAACTACTTTTAACAAGAGCTAAACTTATAAAGCTCTAAAAAGAAAATATAGAGGTAAATCTTTGTGACTTTAGATTTGGTAAAGGACTCTCTGGTAAGACACTGAAAACACAAGTAACAAAGGAAAAAACTGAACTTGAAAAGAATTAGAAACTTTTGGGCTTCAAGCAACACTGTCAAGGAAATGAAAGTACAGAATGGAAGAAAATATTTGCAAATCATGTATCTAGTAAGGAACTTATATCTAGAATATACAAGGAATTCTTGCAATTCAATAACAATTTAAAAAAGACAACCCAATTTTAAAATAGACAAAAGGTCTATGTGAACATTTCTCTGAAGAAGACACATTAAATGTCAAATAAGCACATGAAGATGGTCAACACCATGAGTTACAAAGGAAATTTAAGTGAAAGCCACACTGAGATAATACTTCATACCAACTGGAATGGATAGAATCAAAAACTCTGGTAGCAAGTGTTGGTAAGGATGAGGAGAAACTGGAACCTTAATACACTGCTAGTGGAAATGTAAAAAATTGCCAAGTACTCTGGAAGACAGTCAGAAGTTCCTCAAATGAATACAGAGTTGTAATAATTCCACTTGTAATAACCAAAGAGAAATGAAAACATATATCCACTCAAAAATCTGTACATAACATTAGTAAGTAATAGACAAAAGGAAACAATAACCCAAATGTCCATAAACAAACAGATTAAGTAAATTGTGTTAAATCTATTTAATGGAACATTACTTGGCTATAAAAAGAGATGAAGTCCTAATATTGGAACTTGGATGAACCTTGAAAACATCATGCTAAGTAGAAGCACAACAGTTCACACATTAATTATGGTTCCATTCAATTGTAAGATACATTTCAATTCCAGGGATACTAAATTAAGAGTAATAAAAATCTACCTTATAATCCTGACTCACAAAACACTAAGGTAATAAACGTTTTAAGTCACTAAGTTTAAGGATAACATAGTTGAAGGTAATTTTTCTGTCAAACCTGAAGGAGTAAGGGTTCCAGGTACTCATTTTAGGTGAAACTATAACCTCTGATGTAATGCAATCTGAGAGCAATTTTAATCATAGCTTTTCAAAATTATAAACATTAATCTTGTTATTTCATTTTACAGAGATAGCTGGGAAGTATAATGCACACAGAAGTTGTCTCAAATATTTTTTATTACTTCCCAAGAAGTGTGGCTAAGTTCCTGAACATCATTTCTAGGGTATTATAAGACAAAACATTTCTCTGGTCAAATAATTTAGGAGATTATGGCCTTAAGTAAAACTATACGTATTCCTTCATTGTATCAACATGGCATGGGGATGCTTAAAGCTGGATAATTAAGCTATCTTTAGCCTTTTAATATCTAGTCATACTGGATGTTTCTTTTCCCTGACAAACTAAAAGTTAGCTTCCCCAAGATCTACTTTCTTATAGATCTTGGCTGTTTACTAGTTCACATTTATAAATTCTTAATTTCATTTTCAATATTGCAATCCTTGTAATCCCAGTACCTACTTCAATACATGCTCAAAATATGCTGGCTGAAAACATACATGAATGAAGAAGCAGACTCAATGACAAAGATAATTACAGAGAAAAGAAATAGTTAGGAACTTATGAAAAAGCTAAAAATAAAACATTAATTTCACTGTATGTTCCTAGACCATACAGTAAACTATATTTTCTTATTTGTGTGATTTATATCATCTGTGTAACAAACACACAACCCAGTAGTACTAAATTAACTGGCAGTGGCTCTAGTAGGGCATTTGAATTTTCCCCAATACTTCTTTATTTTGAATGCTACTTTGGATTCTTAGAAAAACATTTTCAGTCAAATATGTAAGTTTATATTATTACATACTTTTCAAACCAGTAAATGAAATAAAAAGTCACATACCAAATGAAACTGATCCACTTTGGGAATTCCATCTTCATTTGTCTCAAATTCCTGATTTTGAACAGAAAGCTGTAAAAGAACGTAAGAATGAACAGACTCCCAATGTATCAAAATATTAGTCTTACAGAAGAGTCAACTATGGTGTTCTTTAGATCCTGGTGAATAGAGAAGAGCTCACTTAAGAAAGCACACTAATTAATGAAGTGTAAAAACCCTTTGATAATAACTATTTGCTCACAAGCAACTAAACGATTATCACTAAAGTAATCAGAATTGATGGATGCACGAGAAAAGCTTTAATACTTCCTCACCTTATAAGAAAATGTCCTAGAACTTTGTAGTCTATGTTTGCTTCATTAATACCCAAGAAAATAATCAAGCAATTCCAATATTTAACTTGTGTTCAAGAAATACAAGCTAAATTTTAAGAGACTATTAAATACAGAGAATTTCTTATATACACAAAAGTATTTAAGTCCCACGTATTTTTATCACCCAGTTCTAGCAACCATTAATTAATAGCCACTCTTGTTACAAACCCATATATTATGATTTTTGAGGCAAATCCTCTGCATCTCACAATTTCATCTGTAAATATTTTAGTACATTATCTCTAAAATATAAGGTACAAAAAATTTATTTTGACATACTTGCAATATCATTACCACAACAATTAGTAACTTTGATATCAAATACCCAGCTTTCAAGTTTTGAATCATAAACATTATCATTATCATAATTTATTTTACTGGGGGTACACTGTGACATTTACAAGAGTGCTTACAAGTTAAAGTCACCACCTCCATCATTCTCCTTTATATTTTACTTTTTGATTTATTTAATTCTAGGTCCAAATAAGTTCCACATACTGTAATTACTATAAACCTGGAAATAAAATGCAACCAAAGGAAAATTCTGAAAGGTCAGAAGAGAAATCAAACTCCTTAAAGACTCTAGGACTAGAGGAACAGATAACAAAAAATATGTCTTATTCTCCCAACAAAAAAAAAAAGAAAGTTACCCAGGCCTGCTATTTCCCTACCCTTAAGTTAGTAACAGAAAGAAGACCAGGCAGATTCATCACCACTTTCCTGGATTTGATATGAGTGCTACCAGTACCAACAGGTAAACCTTGAAGGAACAATAAGCAGACTCTTAATGTTAACGCCAAGATCACAAGGGAAATTCATGCCATATGCAGCTGATCCAGAAAGTGTACTCTACATTCCATAAGCAGACAGATACCACAAGTGGCTAGCTTAGGAAGTATTCACCATGTGCCACAGAAAAGGAGCTATCCTGCCATAACAAGTACCCAGCTCAGAAAGCTTTATCCCATACATCAGAAACTCCATTCCCATACTTAAAAGCAACAGTTTTTAAGCTCAGACTAGGGAAGTTCTTTCAGTAGCAATGGCCCACACATGTTAAAATGTAACTGAAAAGGCTTTAGAAACTAGATTTGCCATTAAAGCACAATTCAAACAGTAGTTGGAACCCCTATATCAAACCTAAGTGGGATGATTAAACTGCTAATATAAAAAGTTCAACAAGACTCAATTTATTAAAATAGTACCAAAGTGTCTACAGTAAAATAAAAATTCCCTTATCATTCAAAGAACCAGGAAAAAAATCACAACTTCAATGAGAAATTGCAATCAACACCAAGATGAATCATATGTTATAGGACAAGAACTTTTTTATCATAAAGATGCTCCAATAAGAAATTATAAGTTCTCTAGAGTAAATTTTAAAAAAAAGAAAATCTCAGTAGAGAAAGTTACTCAAAATAACCATGAGACAGTGGGATTTTCTTGGCTGTACTTGTATCAATAATTCTCTCCCCAGAAAATAAAGATTATGATGGACTAAGGGTGTACCTCAGTGGTAGAATACTTGCCTAACATGTACAAGGCCATGGTTTCAATCCCCAGCACACAAAACCTTTTTTTTTTTTTTTTGGTTACTGTACTTTTCAGTTCTAAAATTTTCATGTGATTGTCTTTCTTTTCAGAAAACAGAACTACCTAGTCCTTTTACCCACATTAGAACTTGCTATGTACTCAGAGTCAGATCATGTGTGCATGCTTGCAATTTATTCACAAGTTCATTACACCAGAACTACAATGCAGCATGGGATCAGATCATCACAGGAGAAAAACAGTACACTGAAAATATGGTACATGTACACACATATACACACACACACACAAATAATATTACTTAGCCATAAATAAAAATGAAATTATATCATCTGTAATAAAATGGCTGGAAATGGAGATCATCACACTGAGTGACATAAGTTCAAAAGACCAAATATCCCATGTTCTCACTCACTTGTGGAATCTAGACCTAAAACAGTGATGATGCTAATGTGACACACAAATGTAAACTGGAGACTGGGGGCAGGGGACCAGCAGGAGGAGGAAGGGAGAAAGGAAAAAGATACTCAGGAGTAAAGAGGATTAAAGTACACTACATATATACATATGAAACCAACATAATGAAACCCACCAAACACTGTTTGAAAAAGGAGCAGGGAAGAGGAAATGGAAATGTAATGGAAGGGGTAAACAAAAATAAAAACTTTTTAAAAAAACATAAAATAACAAGGTCAGACAAGGTAGCTCATCCCTCTAATCTCAACTACTCAGGAGGCAGAGATCAGAACGATTGCAGTTTGAGGCAAGTCCCCATCTCAACAAATAAGCTGGGGGTGGCAGTGCACACTTGTGATTCCAGCTATACAAGAGGCCATAGAAAAAAGGACTGTGGTGTGATGCTGGCACCAGGCCCTACCTGAAAGATAACTAAAGCAAAAAAGGGCTAGGGTTGTGGCTCAAGTGGCAGAGCACCTGCTTAACAAGCACAAAGTCCTGAGTTCAGACCCCGAGATGGAAGAGAGGGAGGGAGGGAAAAAAAGAATTCATAAAACAACAAATATTAGTGAGAATGGCAGGACAGGTGGTAATGAATCCTTATATGCTGTTGATGGGAATATAAATTAGTGGATTCATTATGAAATCATATGGAGGGTCCTCAAAAAATTAAAAGTAGAACCATATGAAACCACCTTTACTACTATGGAATCAGCTTAAGTGCGCATCAATGGATGAATGTATAAAGGAAATACAGTGTATATACAAAATGGAGTATTATTCAGCTATAATTCAGAAGAACAAAACATGCCATTTGCAGAAAATGGATGGAACTGCAGATTACTGAGCAAAATAAGCCAAATTCACAAAAACAAGTATGGTATATTTTCTTTCATGTGTGAAACTTAGAGATAAAACAGGACACAAAAGTAAAAGAGGGACTATTGAGAATGTGAAAAGGGAAATGTGGGAGATAGAGGGCTAGAGGGTAATATAAAGTACATTATATACATGTCAACAATATCATAGCAAAACTCTGTACAATTAATATACAAGGAAAATGTGAAAAAAATCATTTTAACTTAAAAAACTATAAATATATCCAGATGGATTCTTAAATTTTTTTGATTTAACTCATAGGAAAGCAAGAAAAGAAAAATAAACAAGAAACAGAGAAACAAACAAAGCCAATAATAAAATGGTGGGTTAAAACCCTAACTTACCGATAATGACCTTAAATGTAAATGGTCTAGATACTCCAATTAAAAGACAGAGATCAGGAGACTCAATTTAAAAACATGATACAATTTACTTTCTTATAAGGAACTTACTTCAAATTCAACAACATAGAGGATTCCAAGATGGCAGCTAGAGGGAGGAAGCAGAAAGCATGCCTCCTATAGTGAAATCTTGGAGAGACGCTGGAGACACACCTTGCAGGTAAAACCACCAAGAAGAAGCAAAACTTTGACCCCTCCACACCTCCAGCCAGTGCAGAGCATCGCTACTCCACATTAAACGGAGAAACCAGGAGGGCCCCCGGGCCGCCAGTCGCCCGCACCCAGACGGATTGGGAAGACACGGACAAGTTTTATTCTACTTTATGTGTCCCCTTTGATAAGACAACTACAGAACAACATCTGAGGCACCATCTCCAGGATTGGAGACTGAGATGGACACCAAAATTATTAAGACTGAAATTTCATTGCATTTGAACTTGGAGGGGGTTTTTTAAAAATTTTTTTTATTTTCTATTTTTCATTTTCTTTTATTTTATTTATATATATATATTTCTTTCATTTACTTATTTTTTATTTTCAATCCTCTCTCTCTCTAATGCCTGTTCAGCTGTCAATTAGTACACGAACACTCCCTGTTTATACCTTTGAAACTTCCTTGTTTGATTCCTTGTTTTGTTTTCTCCTACTTGTCTATTTGTTTTTCCCTTTTCTTTAACTTCTTGCTTTCCATCTCCTCTCACCCTTCCATTCTAAATATTACCATTGTTATTATTACAAGCTAGAAAATACTTAATTGCACATAATACAGGGACAGTAACAACACCAAGGACAATGACAGGAAGACGGAAAAAACAGGGAAACCAGTTTCCCCACAGCAAAAAATTAGTACAGGAACCAGAGGGGAATGAAGGAAACAGATACTCAGATCCAGACTCCAACAAAATGAAGATAAACTATGCCAAAGAACCCAATGAAGCCCACAAGAATAATTTAAAAGAAGACATACAACATGTACTCAATGAGAATTTTATAGAGATGATACTGGATAGGGTCAACCAAAATGTACAGGAGACACTCAAGAAATTCCAAGACAACAAAAAATAGAGAATTTGAAAAAGCAAAAAGAAGAAATAAAGGAAACCATAGAAGCACTGTATAAACACCAAAGTGAAACAGAGAACACATGAATAAACAGATAAATGAACTCAGGACAAAAATAGACAACATTAAAGAGGAAACCACCAGGATATGGAAAACCTCAGAAAAAAGAACAAACAGAACTGCAAAACAAAACAGGAAGGCCAATCCAGCAGATAGAACAAACAGAAGACAGAATCTCAGAACTTGAAGATGAAATGGTAATTAAAGGAAAAATCGAAGAACTATTAATTAAACAACTCAAGACCTGTGAAAAGAAAATGCAAGAACTCACCGACTCCATCAAAAGACC